AACTACAGTTCTACTTTTCAGTTGTCTGTATAACTACAGTTCTACTTTTCAGTTGATTTACCATTTGTAATCTGATGTCCAACTTGAAACATAATATCCACTCAGCATTATAGATTTTGCTTGTATCGAACCATGAAATTGAAGATTGGAGAGGGTGGTTTTGGACCTCTTTACAAGGTAATCAATTCTTTTAATAATATAATAATATATATTATGATTTTAAATTAAAAAATAATATATTATAATCAAAATATTATTATTTGACCGTGTCAGATAAACTTATTTTATAATATTTTACACATGTTTCTTAAATATTTTTATATACACATAAATAAGGAAATATGTATTTTCTTAGGGGAAATTGGCAAATGGTAATAATTTAAGTGACGAGTTTTCACTGATAGGATATGTAAGTTGAATTGATCCAGTTAAAATTTAAGAGGGTAATAATTTGTTTCAGGCATGGCAATTATGGAATGAAGGGGAAGCTCTAAAGTTGATTGACAGAATGGTTCATGCCAGATAATGAGACTCAGCAACATAAATATTACTCCAAAAATGAGATCACAATGTCAATGATATCTGCCAGATAGCTTATTTACAAATTCTCAGGTTCAAACTTCAATGTATAATTTGTTAGTCACATAGCCAAAAATCTCTTCAATAAAATTGTAATTTTAATATAAATGTGATATTTATTGGAAGGTTAGCCACATCAGTTTCAAGGTAAAACAAAGTCTTTTATATTATAATCTATTTTACATATTACATCTAAATTATATTATCATGGTAATACAAAGTCTTTTATATTATAATAGTTTAATGTCTCAATAAGTTCCTATTTTTGTTCAGAATTTGAAATAGGTCCCTTTATTTTTTGGCGTCTCAATTGAGTCCTTATTTTTGTTAATTTGATGCAAATAAATCATTTCCGTCAATTTCATCAAACGGCGTTAATGAATGTGTGACGTGGCCTGAGGACAGTATTGACACGTGTAAGGCCACGTCACACATTCATTAACGTCGTTTGATGAAATTGACGGAAATGATTTATTTGCATCAAATTAACAAAAATAAGGACCCAATTGAGACGCCAAAAAATAAAGGGACCTATTTCAAATTCTGAACAAAAATAGGGACCTATTGAGACATTAAACCTATTATAATCTAGTTTACATTTTACATCTAAATTATATTATCATGTACTTTTTAGATTTACTAATCAACTACATAAATATACGTATAAAATGGGTTAAGATATTTCAAACTTGTTAAATAGCACACTAAATAATATAGTTTAAGTATAAAAATAATAAGTAATATCGTTCATGTTATTAAAAAGTAAATATTCTTCATATTGAGAACGGATACTTCTTTGAGAAATTGTTAACTGTTAAAATATGATATGGAATAAATTAAATATTCTAGGAATAAATTTTATGTACTGGAAATGGATAATAGTACATACAAAAAAAATTTCACTTTTATATCGGTTACAATATCAATAGGTATAAAAATGAGATTTTTTTTAGAAACTTTTATACCTGTTCTGAGCAGAACCAATGTAGGAATGATATTTTTATACCTTCTTAAGAATCAGTATAAAAATTAGAACCTTTCTATACCCACTACTTGTATACCTACTTAAAAATCGGTATAAAAAGCTTTTTTTTAATAGGTATAAAAAGCCTTTTTTGGCATAGTGCTTCAACAATTTAAGATATTATTTTAAGTTTTTAAAAGATTAATTGAATGAATTACGCATTCGTAAAGTATGTTACAAAAAGAAATATCCTTATTGTAATAAAACTATGTAAGTTTCCTTAAAATAACATCATTAAGTCCTACCTTGAAGGTATTATCCTTTTGAGTTTTATATATTTGTCATAGTTTTATCTAGGTTAAACCATTTTCGCAGTCCTTATTTATGTTGGGCTTTTCTACTTAGATCCTTTTTTAATTTTTTTTCTCAACTGAGTCCTTAAAAGTGAAAAATCAAGTCAATTGAGTCTGTGCCATTAAATTGAGTTAACGGGGTTAAGTTTTTGCTGACGTTTTAGAGTGAAGTAGTTTAGTTTAATGATGTGACCTCTTAGGTGGAAATTGTGTAATTAAAAAATTAAAAGAAAAAGTGTTTCTAAAATTTGAACAAGAATAGGGGCATCTCTCATAACGTTATTGGAAGCGGTGGAGTTGACTTGGCCACCGTCACCCATGCCAAAGAGGGGCATTGAATATACCGGGACAGCAAAACCATACCAACCCAATAAGAATGATCTGAATGATTGGTGAATTGTACCTGAAAAGATTAAAACTTTTTTCGGTCTTCAGGGATCTGGGTGTTTGATTCCCCATTTCCAGGGTTACTCATTTGAGAAGGATAGTTGATTTGGTAGAAAGTGAAAGACGGGTAGAAGAAACAAATGATTATTGTTTGAGGGAATAGAAGAGTTTAAGTAGAAGAGTAATGGATGTGAGCAAAATCGACATAGCTTTACAATATTACGATGCCTGATTTCGGTTAAAGCTTGAATTTCATTCTCAAAAGCTTTAAAATTAGGCTTCTCTCCATCTGTTCCTAGATGAAGTTTCTTCACCGCATAAACCTCACCTAAAGGGAACTCAGCGCTGTAAACATTTCCCTGTCCTCCGACACCTATGAGATATTTGTCATTAAAATTGTCGGTAGCTTCAATGATAGTTTCAAACGTAATTTTTCCATCATGACTCCAAACAGAAAACACTTCTTGAGATAATGCATTTTCTTATACTTCTTTTCCTTTAGCTTGGGCTTCTTTCTTCCTTGCTTTTCGACAAAGAATATACATTGAAACACCCACCGCACACAATATTAATGCAACATGAGAAGTAATATAAGAACAATTTCCTTGTGCTTCCTTTCTTTGCGGTTGACTGGACAAAGCATCAACCAAGTGACATTCCCACACAAACCTGTGTTATTTTTCAATGATTCAATTGAAGCATTAAGAAAGGCTCCCTTTTTGGGAAATGGCCCTTTTAACCAATTGTATGATATGTTTACAGAAATCAAATTTGATATGCCCTCAAAATTGGATGGAATACTTCTAAAAAGATTGTTGCGAGAGAGATTCAAACAGTTCAGTTTGATCACCGCTCCAAGTATGCGCTCAGGCCACCGCAGAATACATCCACGATTCACACCCGCCACCAAACACCATGTCACCGTTGTCGCAACCCCAAATCATCATCTTCACAAAATACTTGCAGAATCAGAAAACCCCAAATCAAACACAGATGAACCCTAAATCGTGTTTGCACTCAAGCCGCCACATAATCTCCTTCTGGCCGCCATCAACATCTCGTCCTCTACCATTTTTGAACCCTAACCACGGACCAGAGAGGCGTGGCCAAATCGTGAGCAAATTTTGTTCTCTCACAAGAATCACAAAACGCAACAAACCTCCAATAGCGACTTCTTCATCGCAAATCACCGCCATCATCAGCCATAACAATTCGTCGTTATTCGAATAATCTTCCTCAAGAACCAGCTCCATGCACTGCCATGAAACCTGCACACAGCAAAACCCAAAAATTCCACCAACAAACCCTAATTTTAAAATGTTTAATGTTATGAAATTTCATGTATAAACCTATGTGAATGCCACGTACTAAAAACTTACCACGTCAAATTGTCGGGTCATCAAAAACTCCAGTTAACCCAATTTAACGGCAAGGACCCAATTGAGTCAATTTTTCACTTTTAAGGACTTAATTGAAAAAAAAATTAAGAAAAAGATCTAACTAGAAAAACCCAACATAAATAAGAACTACGAAAGTGATTTAACCTTTTATTTATCAAATAACGCTTAAAGAATCAGAGAAAGAATGTGGACATAAATTACCCTAAATTTCAACCTGAAGTCTTGAATGCTTTGAAATTAAAACAAAGTTTAAATATTCTTTTTCAGTTCCATTAAAAACTGGAATGCCTTTTAAAGAAAAAAAAAACAGTGATAAAGGCATAAAACTTCAAAATAGACCTTTAAAAGACTATTAATCTTAATAATAATACTATTTTACAAGTGAACTTTAAATTGGAACAAAATGCAAATTACAAATTTTCTCGAATATAATTATAATGCAATCTATAACTCATTTCTAAAAATTAAAATTAACAAAGGCTTTTAATGTTATTTTGTTTCCAGCATTAAAAAATTACATGAAAAATACAAGAAATAAAATTACAATACGACTACTCAATTCAAAATGACAAAAATAACAGTGGCTGACTCAAGATTTAACTAGTGCTTGCCTGTTACCGTAAAACTTACGAATTTTACTCCTCGATTTAATTTAAATAATTCATTAGCTATAGCATGAGATGTACAGAACGAATTCAAGAGAACTCGAAATAGTTTTAAATTAAGTTAAATATTCTATATGTAATGTTTTACAATTCGAGATGTAATTACCTTTAAATATTTTTCTAATATTTATATATTGCATTTTAAATCATCGCACTTTGAACTTGTAATGGCATTCAAATTTTACTGATTTATTAAACTATTATTGCAGTAGACCATATTCATATTAACTAAAATACGAATAATGAATTTTAAGGCACATGTATATAAACACACGACGCGATCATACACACACACACATGTATAGAGGATCGGCAATGTATCAACGCTCACAATGTCACGAACATTTAGAAACTACAAAAAGAAAAACCATTGTAGTACTAAAATTCGTAAAATGAATTTTTAACTTTAAGCCATATTAATTTTATTTTATTTGAAAAAAATGAGTCTTAATTGGTTCAGACCACTTGAGCTGTGTTATTTAAATAACTCAACGGTGCCGTGTTAAAATAACGCTATTTAACTTTAATCAACTCACATAAAACACCTAGATGTAAGGACATTTAAGCCAATTTTCAATCAGGGAATCTTGGAACCTATTATGCCATTATCGAAGACGGAGAAAGAGGAACATGTATATTTACACACCATATGTCCGATATTAATATATCATACAATTGATCGAATATTGTGAATTTAGTTTCATCATTCAAGTTGTAGCAATACGAAATATAAAGATAGCTCGAAAACATTAGTTTCACCACCACAAACAAGGCCAAAAGAGTGGACAGCTTCCTCTTTACCAGCCTGCCTTGATTGCCTGCGATAGAGGCCATCACATACGAGCACAAATTAATTTATACATGAATTTTGGTACCATAACCAGAGAATCAATGAATCAAACAACAAATCAAGCTAGCCAGGATAAGCTACTCATAGTATACACAGCTATCATTTTGGTAACAGAAATTCTCATTTTGGCAATTGAAGTCAATGCAACTACAAGCTGCACCTTGTACCACACACACAATGACCCAACACTAGTTCCAGAAATACGATGCATTACACTAAAAAACTATTTACAAAGGAGTATATCATGAACCAATTCACAATGATAATAAGTTTGTATTATGCATAATGAAGCATCGACTATCATGACCTAAACAAGATGAAATACGATAATTTCCAATCAATAATATTTGCAGTATAGGATGAATTATGACAGGTTTGATACATTTGATCAAAATGTTAAGATCCCATGTTTTAATACCAAAAAATTGTAAAGGATGGTCCAGCTAAAGCCAACAAAAGAAATATTAATTGAAGTCAATATATAACAATTACCCGGAAATATAAGATCTATGATATCAATAAATCAAATTGCAATACTATTTGAAGAATCATATTACCTAGAACTTGGTGAGCAATTAAAACTACTCCTCCATCATACAATGAGGCATACCTCAACCAGGATTTGAGACAGTTCAACAAAAGCCATATAGAGATAAATAATCCATTTCTTCAATACAAACTTTGTCAATAAAAGCAACAATAGCTTGAATATATCACTGAATTAAATCAATCAGATATAATAGCATACCTTTACATGTATTTATCTGTTGCATAACTACTTTCACAAATAGAAAGCCTCAACTGTCTTCGATTTCTTTGCTGCCCCCGCTACCATCACGTTCTATGTAATCAGCAGCATCATGCGGACTTTCAGCAGGCTGTATGATCTTACCAAATAAGAGGATTGAACCAGAACCAACTTTGGTGTTGCAATGCCTGGTCCCAGTAAACTCTGTGTCAAAGGAATGTAAACTACTCTGGCTATGTGGTGACGTGTCATCTGATTGAGAACTGCTAATGTTTAGATCCGTAGAAACAATTCCCAAACTTTGCACTGTATTGTTCCCAAAGGAACTACTACCCATGTACAGATAAGAGTTATCGTTTAAAAAGTTGGAAAAACTTGATGCAGAAAATAGATCATGCCTGGCTCCCTGCATGCCAGCAGGAAAAGTATCATAACTCAACAATTTTTTATCCATATTTCCCATTGTTGAGTTAGGGAAACCTATCATAGGAAAGAAGGGGTCTCCCTCCCTATCACGAAACAGTCCAGATCCCTGGTCAGCTCTAAACCTTTTTGAAGGGGAAAACGCTGTATGAAGTGCAAGTGAGGGGGAAACAAGTTCAACCTGCCAAGGACTGACTCGTTTTGCATTTTGTAAGACTTCAGGTTCATCCCAGTTAACCTATGATGTTGAGATCATAGAAAATGGTAAGAAGGCGACAGCAGTCATTTCAGATAGATCAATCATAAAACAAAATTTTCTAAGACAAAGGTTTCTTATCAATTAAAAGAGTATGCCATCACAAATGACATAATACCAGGATCCGTTGACAAAATATTACAGGAGAAAAAGAACTCAAAATATAAATGGAGATAATAGCAATCTGTATTTGAAAAAGAAAAGAAACTACCAGTTAAACAAAACAATATCACCTTTAGAGGCAGAGCTTAAGTATAGCTCAATTATCACGGACTAAACCCCAGAGGAGAATATTTAGATACAAAGAAAAAAAAAACCTAATACATTTATAGATTCAAATGAGAAAATGTTACATCTTACCCTTAGTCGTAGTAAAAACACAGATATAATATATCTTAATAAACTTGAAGTACAGCAGGTTTTCCATTTTCTCAGCTCAACCTATTTATGAACAAGGTAAATAGAAACTGTCCCAACATTAGGTACTATCACGCTTCTATTTTCTCTTTTCATTAATACTGAAGGGCGAATATTTTCTGCATTGCCCTTACCCTAAATCTGTCCTCCTGTAGCCACGAAGCGCTATTATTCAGAATCGATCATAAGAAAAGATGTAATTTGCTTACCCTCAATAATAGAATCATGCCCATGTGCATTGAGTGATAATCACATTGGGTATAAAGCAAAACAATTAACCCTCTCCAAAAAAACTTTTAAAATAAAACTCGTAAGTTCATTCCAAACAATAAGTTATCAAAATCCCAAGATTTCATTATACAGCTTCATAAACCATATATCCTGAGAGCACATTAAATATAACACTTTAAATACTATTATGGTAAGTAATAAATACTTTTTTTATATTTTTTACATAATAAACGCATGTTTATCTAACATAAACTATCCATTTTTTGTTTTCCAAATAAAGACCAGTTGCTAGTATTTGGAAAAACTTCGAGAGCACACTGCATAATCCCATCCTTTCTTTCAGCACAGGAAAGACCCTGTCCGGATCAACTTCTAACTTAAGGAAACCTTTCAATTGGTATAAGTATATGATTGCTAACCTGAGAATCATGAATGAACTTCCAAAAATGCTCGAGTGCATAAGTAAAATTTAACTCACAAAAACATTTAACTCATCCTATTTCCTTGATTATTTTATTTTATTCTCCAACAAATTTATCGAAATCGGCCCAGTCACACATTTAACTCATGCAATTCCTCAATCACAAAGCACAATGCAAACAAAAATACCTGAAGCATGCGCCAAGGTCCATTATCAGAGGCATACGCAGAAGTCACCGTCCCTTGAAACCACGTCATCCTAGAAGAATCCTCAGTCTCCATTCCTATCTTCACTCTCATTCCACCAGCCCACGCGCACCTCATCGCGTCCTCCACAACCTCAGCACTCACCACGAAATCCGCAAAACCCGCCCTCGGATAATACACCACCTCAAACGGCGCGTTCCGCGACACGCACTCCGCTGCGGCCTTCACTGCCTTCGGCGATACTCTCCCGGTCGCGTACAGCGGAAACCCCTCTCCCTGCGCTGGCGGCTGCTCCTCCTCTACAGGAGAGGATGAGGAGACGAACCGCGTCGCACGGCGGATCCCGACCGAGACGTTCCCGTCGGAGTCCTTGACAAAGACAACGGAATCGCCGGCTATGAGCTTCTTGTGGTTGACAAACTTGCTCCAGCCAGTTGTGAAGAGGTGCCGACGTGGTGTACCACGGTAGATGTGGCGAAAACGCCACGCGACGCCGTGGATGTCAGTGACGGAGAGGAGCTGGACCGGAGGATCGGCGCGGAAATCGAGCGGAGGGAAGACAGAGTCCGCACAGAAGCGCGGCACGGAGAAGCCGCCGCCGTTGTTGGCGTCGGAGGGTGTGAGGATTTTGGAGAACGAAACGACGCCGTTTTGGCACTCGCGCTCTTCGTCGTCGCTTTGGATGTTGCTGTCGTCGTTCTGGTTGTTTCGGTGAAACGGGTGAGGGAGTGGAGTGAGGAGGAGCCTGGCGAAGACCTCGTCGGAGAATGGATCAGCAAGCAAATCACGGGAGGACACAAGGCAGGGAACGAAGGGGAGGGAACGGAAGGGAGGGGAGAGAGAATGTGACGGAGAAGCGTGCTCCATGTGGCCCTGCGGGAAGTAGTAAACCCTAGAATGCAGCTTCGGGATGTGCACAGCGGCCCCGGCGCATGCCCGCCAGATTTTGGGATCGACGCGGCGAGGGTTGGGTGGAGACTGCGGCAGAGGCATGTTGAATTGAACTAGAGAGAAAGTGAGGTCGGAGTAGGGTTTAACTTTTGAGACATGAGAAGGGGAATAAGAGAGTGAGGGAGTGTGCCACTGCCACTGCCAATATTGCAACTGTCCGCGCTTTTCTCTCTCTCCAGCAGCAGTTGTCTATCGAATTCGGAACGAACGATTCTCGGTAGTCGGTTATGTTTTCATTTATTAGAGAAAAAGTTAAAGTACATACTGCATTTTATGGCTTCTAATTTCTTTCCTTTTAGTTTCTTACATACTAAATAAATTAATTTATCTGCAAACTTAATATATTTTTAAAATGATAATTCATTTTTGAAATCAATTAATCTCTTTCCCAAAAAACTAACACAGCTCAAAGCAATTAACATATAATTGCTAAAATTATATAACATTTGAAATAATTATAGTTACTTTAATCAATATAAAAATAATAAATTTTATAGCGTTTGAGTTAATTGCTCTGAGTTGATCTTCCATGAATAATTTAATTTCTTTTTTTAAGCTTCCTAATAGTGCTTTATTAGAACTAATCGCGGGTGTGACTTTTCAGTGTGTGGATGGTATGGAGGAGGAAAAATCATGAAAGATTTCAATGCAGCATTTTTATTCAGGTTGCTATATAGACTATAAGGTATTATGTTCAGTTGATTGGGAAAAGTTATAAAATTGGTATGAATAATAATATGATTGATTTTGCTGTTTTGAATTTGTTTTATATTAATACTAGATTGGGGAAGCTTATATTTCATAAGTGTTCGAGAGTTTTTCGATTGTTATGTGGATTAAGATCATCACAGATGAGACCGTTAGTGGGTGCAGATGGAACGTTGCATGTGAAGGGTTGTTTAGAGATAGTATGGAAAAATTCATTGGTTAATTTTCTTCTTCTATTGGAGTGAAAAATCTCTTTACGAGAAACGCATTGGTGGTATCTTGACACTTGTATATTGTAAATTGGTTAGTTGTGGTTGGAATGATATGGTAAAGGACGGTGGGAAAATGTTTGAAAATTTATAAAAATATGGAATTTAAATGCTTGCAAATTTAAATGTTTGGAGAAACTGGTTACTTAAAACCAAATTTTGTATAAATGATATAACTCAATACCATCATATAGATTACAATTTGAGATTTTTCATTATAGGTTTTATTTATCTATGTTTAGAACGTTATAATTTTTTATTACATAATTTGGTTTGTACTTGATGTGTTTTTTATCTTTATTTTTTATTTTTAATAAATTTTGCATATAAAGACAAATTATTGTTGTGTTATGATTTATAACAAAAAAAAAAATCACTCGAGATAACTATTGTAAGAATGTCATTGGAAGATCGTCCTAATCTCACCATTACAATTCTAACAATTAACCGACAAACAAAATATAACTTAAAATGCTTATTATTTAATTTATATGTGATTTATATCTAGATCAATTCTTTAATCAATATAAAATTTATTAAGAATCGACATAAAAGTTATTGCGTCAGTGCACGTATTAAAAGAAACAATATTGTTCTATTTAATAAAGTTGTATTCTAAGAGAAGATAAAAAATTTAATTAGTTATATTTTTAATTAAAAAAAGGCTTAATTGTCATAAGAGAAGATAAAAAATCACAAGAAAAAATTCACTACAAGAAATAATGGATTTATATACAGAAGTTTATATACGGGATTTAAATCCGTATATAAGGCAGATATTATATACGGAATTTATATACGGAATTTAGAAAAAATGTTATATTCGGATATTATATATGGTTATAAATTCCATATATAAGGTTGGCGCGTGATAGCGGAAAAATTATCCAAGGATGGGATCCGTATATAAGTTGTATTATCCGTTTGTAGTTAGAATCAGGTGTTATCTACAGATAGTATATACGGATCAGGGAAATAATTATTTTAAAAAAATATATTTCTGATTAAGTGGAAGCTGGGTGTCATTTCTCAACCTCGAGCTTTCCTCTCTTTGTCGAACCCTCGAGATTTCTTCTCTATCGAACCATCATGCTTTCCTTTCTCTTTCGAACCATCTTCGGTCTCAGTTCGGTGTCCTTCTGTGGAGCCATCTTCGGTGTGGGTGTTGGTCTCTGGAGCCCTCTTCGGTGTGGGTGTAGATCGTGCTTTGATTCTTCCTCGTCTCTCTCTGTCTATTATTGTGACCTTCATCAATCCTTCATCAAACACTGTGGTTGGGGCTCATTGTTGGGTGCGGTGCCGTAGTTGGGCGTTGAGTAGCTTAATCGGGTAAGTAAATCAAACCCTAATGCTTAGTAAATTTGGTTCTTCTCTGGCCATTCTTGTCATCAAGCGATTGTCATCAATCATAGGCTTAATCTCAAACCATCATCTTCGTCGCTCGAACCGCAGGAGTCCCTGCCTCCAATCGTGGTGTTCCAGTCGTGGTGGCGTTGTGGGGTAATCGTGTTCTCCGTCTCGAACCTTCAGTCACCTCTCCTCTCGAACCTCTCTTAACTGCAGTTGTCGGTGGACTCCACCCCTGTTCTGTGAAGCCTTAAATGTGGTAAGTGATTCTTCTCTTCCCTCATGTTTAGTGTAATCTGTAATGCCTATAAATCTTTAAAATTGAACCCTAATATGTGTTAATTTTATTTTCATTGCCCCATTTTTGGTTCGTCTGGCAAGACGTAGTTGGATTTTGACTAGGCATCGATTGAGGCTGTTGTATTGCGGTTTAAGCTGAGACATAGAAAAAGGTTTTTTTAATTTCCTCTCTTGCTCGGTTTGGTATGCAATGTACTTCGGTATGTGTGTGTGTGTGTATATATATATATAAACTATATATAATGTTAATTTTTAAGTATTATTGACTGTATTAAGTATGTGAAGTCTTGAATGCTATGATACATGTTAGTGTAATATATGGACATGAATTTGTGGCTATTCTGCATTGCTAGAGTTGGCTGCCTTGTATTATAGCCTTTTTGAATCTGAACCTGGTGTAATTTGTTAATTTTATTTGGTTTAGAATTTTCTTGTGTAAAGTCAAAGAAGTCCTCTAGTTCAGAAGACTCTAGCTTGCTTCCTTCAGATCTTCCTTCCTTTGTTCATTCATTATAAGGAACTTTTTCTTGTAGAGTAGTGCTAACAAATTGAGTATGCTCTCAAGAGGTGTCCTGTTATGGCTATTGTTGTTGTTGAGGTATTGGTGTTGGATTTTACTAAGTTTTTTTTGTGGTGGTGTTAGTTGTTATGGTTGTGGTTGCTCTTCTACCACTATAACTACACTAGTTCCCCCATTTGAAAGGGTCTGTCTCCAAGCCAAGCCATTAGGTTCAGAACATGAAACTTTGAAATCTCCTCAGTTATGACATCTGCTATGTCCAACAAGTATCCTCTTTTGATGTAGTATATGAATTGGGCTTAAGCAATGGTGAAGCTAGGTACATGGGAGCTAGGGGTCACATTAGAAATGAGAAAGGTGACCCATATTTGTGATAGTTTTCATGATTTCCCTTTGGAAGTCTTTGAGGTTGTCCAGACCTCCCTAGCTTAGTGTCACTCCTATTATGAAATCCTTGAACAGTTCCCCTTCCTCATTGGATTTATTTCTTGTGAGCTACAAGAATCCTTGATATTTTTTTATTATGCATTTATCAATTTTGTCCAACTAAAGTAAATCATCAATTGAACTTTTAAATTCATTCAACACCTCATTACACCCAATAAAAAAACTAAGTTAAATGAATCTGAACTTTTGGTTCAATGCTGCAGCATGTAACAACTAAGATGCCTCATTTGAAAGGCTTAGACATCTATTCCTGCCTGTGTAGGTAGTTTGATGTTTCAGCCATGCCAGAGTTGGGTTAATATATTTAAGTTACCATTTAAGTATAACAAAACATAAAACTGTAGCTAGTGGCTCTAATTAAATGACACAACTTACATTGCCCCTCATAATGTCCAATGCCCTTGTATTAAAATTTATCGTTGGTTTTTAAATATAATGGCAAGACAATTATTATATTAGTTTTGTTTGAAGTTTTTATGTGAATAAATGCACACCAAGTTAAATAATAGAAATTGGACAGTGGCTCTACACTCAGGAAAGGTAGATAAATGCATATAGTTCCAAAGACTGCAAAACCCTTTGTCCACTTAATTAGTATGCCAGAATCAATAGATGTCTACATCACAAGAAATGAAAAACTGAATCCAATCTCTTTCTTTCTTCTCAATGAGACATGAAACCTACTATCCTCCTTTGACATCAAACACCCCCTACAATGAAACTCAACTTGTGTTTGATGAGAAAAAATAATTTGACAGACCTAATCTTTACGGACTTGAGCAACCCGCATCTATCAGACCAATTTAGACTGCTTTACCTAATCTTATAGGCTAAACAGAATACGTAGGAGTGACATCTTAACTTGAGAAAAATTTCACCACCTTTTCATTTCACCTTTACTCATCATCAACCTCAATTTGTTCTGAACATCACCTTTCAATATTACTATTAACTCACATATTTAGAAATCTATAAGGAATCATCCACAACATATTTCATTTAGGGTGCTACTTCCATTTTTGAGAATCATAATTAGATGATATGTGTTTATTTTTTTTGTTGAAATCTATAAGGAATCATCCATTGTGCTATGATATGTGTTTATTTTTTTGTTGAAATTTTATTTTGACTTTGATACAAGTGTTAAAGTGGTTGAGAAGTGTGGGGTACCTCATTGGAAAGGCTTAAAGTGTTGTACAATGAAGCAAAAGATCTATCAGAAACTAAAGCAAGGTATGTTTACTCCTGAGTTTTCCCCTGTGTTGTTTTCTTTGTTCCTTGCGTGTATGGTGTGGTTGTGCTGTGTCTGGTCTGATTTCTTAGGACTCCAGTAAGATGTGTTCATTAATCTGTTCTTTTATCTGCTTATTGTGGGGTTTTACCTTCTTAATAATCTGTGCTTTTATCTTTGTATGATCTTAATGTTCAATGTTTAGTGATTGTCATTAGAGAGGTTGATATGATCTTAATGTTCTTTCTTGGTTATTGGTACTCTCAATACCCATCACTGATAACCACTATTGCCAAATCAATACCCATTGTCCCTACCACCACTCCTATAGTTAAAATATGTTCCAACTTCAACACTCTAAAATATGTTCCAACTTCAACACTCTAAATTTTCTTGTTCATTCCAAACTGTATAAGTTAAATTAATTAGATTCTCTGAACCCATGTCTAGTGGTTGTGTTTTTACTCATTAAGCACATTTTAGGCTACCTAGACTAGCTAGAATTAGGAATTTTATTCTGCTTTAGTTTTTTTATATATTCTTTATTTTAGACTTTGATTAGGATCATACTAAACATGTTAGCTATTAAGATCATGCATTTAGGCATTACTAAACATTCAGACCCAAATTGCAAACATATGCAAAACTACCTTGGTGTTCTTACTTTATAACTTGTTCATCCACTTTCCAATGACTTTTTCTGTTTTGTTGATTCTAGTAGGAATTTTATTATTCAAACATTTTTGTTTGATGTTAGATTCATGTTGGTATCATGTTTATACAGTTTTAAGTCATTTTACAGAATTTGACCGATTAAGTTGTTTTCTAGGTTCACATGCGTCTATAGAATTAGGCATTTCTTATTTATTACACATTCTATCCAATTCTGCATTTTAGCATCTAATTAACATCAT